GTTTTAGCCCTAAATTACATCTTTACCTCAGTATCATAATAATGAAAATAGCCTCTCCTCCGCCCTGATACTTGGTGCGCACAATGATAAGGGAAAGGCAGAGGAAGTGTGTTGATTAAAAACTAAGCAACTAATACTACCTTTTCTCTCCAGTAAGCTTTAGAACTATGTAAAGGAGAGAGAAACTGAGCTTTTTTCTCATCCTTACTTCTTGCTTGCTCCAATCCGTCAAGAAGCCAAAGTTTCGTAAGATAATCTCTTGGATTATTCCGTTGCCTAAGTTTAATAATAGAGAGAAAAAAATTATTTGATGCAAATTGGACTGACTCCGACGAAGGGCATCCACCACAAAAAAGGGGCTTTACCCCGTTATCCTTTCTTGTTCGGATATCTGATTGACCTGTGCAGTTCTTGTGACCTGAGGCGCAACTACAGACTAAACCAAGGAAGGAAGCCACGTGACTGATACATAACTAAGAACGAAGGACTCTTTCCGGTAAATCAAAGTCCAAACCATTTCGTGTCTGTAAGGCATTTTAATAAATACGGAAAAGAAAAGTATAGTCAGTTTATCTTTTTTTTCGTTTTACTAGACGAGAACAAATTAACTCAAGACGCCCTTGAAGCAATCTTAATTGCTGAATGTAAAAGTAGTTTTTTCTAGCGACGAAATTAGCTTTGGAGTTAGCGATACTTCCTTCCCAAAGGCGATGCTAATCATGGCTGGACAAGAACTAAGTGACCTTATTTTCAGGTGTTAATATTTCCCTAAAGTGTTGTTCATTTGAAGACTTTGTTTTGAAATCGTTCCATTTGAAAAATTTACAACACAAAGCTACGCAACTTTTGCTGGTAAATTCTAGTAAACAACAAACAAGAATCTGTAAATGACTATGAATCTATTTAACTTATTTTCACTATTTGTTAGCTCAGTTGATAGAGCAATGCACCGGCATCGCACTAAAATATTTGAAACGAGGCGCTCACAATGTAAAAATTTACTGCCTTGCTAATTTATCTCTAAAAACCCATCTATTAAAAAAATTTTCTTAAATGTTTGGTACTTATTTTCAGAAACTGTCCTCACCGATTACGAAATCTCAAGTGGGATTCCGTTTTTCTTGGCGAACTAGGCGACTCATGCTCAGAGGTGAAAGTGTTCCCTTTTCTCCAAAGAGGTGGTTCTCACAAATGCGTAGTAGATTCTGCTTTAATCCGTTGTGTACTAAAATTGACGGCTAGAAAATTGCGAAGCCTTCTTAAAAGACAAACCATAAAGACAAAAACTCTTGTTACTCGTGCAAAGATCCCTTGGTTTAACGCTGATGTTCTCCAGTTTAAACGTATTCGTCGCAAGGCTGAGCGGAAAGCTCTTAAAAGTGGTCTTTCTTCAGATTGGCTTGCTTATCGTAAAATCTGTAATAGATATTCTGCTCTTCTCAAGTCTACTCGAGCTTCTTATTACTCAGATTTAATTGATCAGTGCGCTGGTGACTCCGGGAAGTTGTTCAAATTGGTTTCATTCCTTTGTAAGGGTCCTAATGTTAATGATCTACCACCTCATGATGACCCAGTTCTACTTGCGAATAAATTTGGGGAATTCTTTGTTAAAAAAATTGAACTCATCAAAGATTCCATCAGTGATATTGAAGTTAATCCTCCTTATTCTGATACTGCTGCTCCAGCTGTAGAACTTGACAGTTTTTCGCCGTTATCAGTGGAAGATGTTTGCAATATAATCAGTACATCGTCTAATGCCTCATGCTCCCTGGATCCAATCCCTACATGGCTTGTGAAGTCTTGTCTTGACGTCCTTGCGCCCTCCATTACTCGCATGGTAAATTTGTCTATTCGCCACGCCTATGTTCCCGATGATTGGAAAACTGCAATTGTGAAACCTCTATTAAAGAAACCCGGTCTAGAGTTAACTTATAAAAACTTCCGTCCGGTAAGCAATCTAACATTCATCTCCAAGATCGTCGAAAAGGCGGTTCTTTCTCAATTGTTTAAGCACTGTGAATACAATGCTCCTCTGCCGAAGTTACAATCAGGGTTTAGAAGATTTCACTCTACCGAAACTGCCTTGCTTAAGGTTCAAAGTGATATTCTTATGTCAATGGACCATCAGGAAATTACGCTTCTTGTGCTACTGGATCTAAGCGCTGCTTTTGATACAATCGATCATCAGATTCTCCTTAATGTTCTTGAAAGCGATTTTGGAATCATTGGCTCTGCCCATAAATGGTTTGCGTCTTATCTGTCTGGCCGAAAACAACGTGTTCTCATAAACGATCGAACATCAGATGATTTTCATTTGAACTGCGGTGTCCCACAAGGCAGCTGTATGGGTCCTATTTTATTCATATTATACATATCTCGACTATATCACGTGATCGCTAACCATCTCCCCTCTGCTCACGGATATGCCGATGATACACAACTTTATCTGTCGTTTAGACCCAATGACATATCTTCGCAAGACCACGCCATAGCTGCTCTTGAAGCCTGCATTTCGGATGTCCGCTCATGGTTGATTTATAATCGCCTGTTAATTAACGATTCTAAAACCGAATTCTTAGTTGTTGGTTCCCGCCATCAATTATCAAAAATCGCAATTGATTCCATCACAGTCGGTAATTCTACCATTCAGCCTCTCAACAGTGTTCGAAACCTGGGTTCCTGGTTTGACTCCAATATGTCCATGTCCATTCACATTGGTAAGATCTGCAGCAAAGCTTTTCATGGATTGTATAAAATTCGCCAAATTAGGAAATTCCTCAGTCCTGAGTCCACGAAGACTCTTGTTCACGCATTTGTGACTTCGCATTTAGACTATTGCAACTCCCTTTTATTTGGCGTACCCAAGTACCAGACAGAGCGTCTTCAGAAGGTGCTTAACGCCGCTGCTCGACTAATTTTTAGGATTCCCAAGTTTCACCACATCTCGTCCGCCTTATATAATCTTCACTGGCTTCCTGTGGCTTATCGCGTCCATTTTAAGTTGTTACTTTTAATTTATAAAGCTTTAAATAACCAAGGCCCACTATACATAAAAGAATATCTGCAGCCACACAGTGTCAAGGGTCATCAGCTACGTTCCTGCGATCAGGGTCTCCTTAAGGTCCCAAGAACTAACTTTAAGACCTTTGGTGATCGTGCCTTTGCCCGTTCTGGACCTNAGTTATCGCAAAGTGTTGCGTGACGTGAAAAGTCTCTTCAAAATAAGAACCAATTAGACCTCTACACGTAATTAGAAGGGGCTTCCCCGGACAAATTCCGAGAATAAAAAATTTGAAAATAGATCGACCAGACTAAATTTTTGCTCTGAGAAGCGTCGGTGCTTGAATTTATCTTGAATTTTCTCTCAGAGATTTGAATACGTTAATCTAGAAAAAGGAAGAACTATGTCACATCATCTTACAGTGTCAAAACCCGAGCAGAGCTTCCGAGATATACAATATGAAGGGCTTGAGCCGCAGAAAAGTGCATCAAAGAATAACACTTGGTCAACGGTACTTCGCGTCGCAATTTTTGTGCTCGTTTTGTTTGTTATTGCCCTTATTGCCAGGTTTGTGATTAACAAGGGATTTCTATCTAGCAGAGGTAAGCTTTAAGAAAGAGTTTTAATTCGCTAGGCAAAGGATCACCGAAATGTGCAATGGTCATCGGCAAATGATTGCAGATACTAAGAAGCGAACCTGTCTGAAATAGCCCGATAAGTTCTTAAAATTTGTTCGTTGTCTATAGATTTTCATTTTCGTCTATAGATGGATTACATAACTAAATGAAGGGAAAACTCCTAATCAAACTGTGAAGGTGACTTAACAACGAAAATTAAATTCCTTTGAATGGTGAGCAAAGTGACTCGTATATGCTTCGTCAAGCATATTATGAAGTTATTTACAATTTCAAATTCTTTATCCCATCATTGCGTGGTGTTTTGATTAAGTCAACAATTCTGGTCTAAACCTCCATTAAGGGTAAGCCATGATGAATATTTTCTTCTTCCCATAATTAGGAAAAGTGACTTACGGCCAATTCCGTGCCAGGGGACGAATGAATCAATCATCGCAGTGTTATACGATTTGGCTCAGTGACTGTTAATCTTTTTTTTTTATCTATGCGCCAAAACAGATGGAGAAAATGTGACCAGTTCAGTTCTTAGCTGCAGAGAGGAACCAATTTGTGATTCCAACGGCGCTTGCTCAGAGAATCAACAAAATTGTGTTTGCAACGAAGGTTTCCAAGGGGACGGCTTGTCGTGTGCTGATATAGATGAGTGTATCACTGAGATTCACAATTGTAGTGAGCATGCAATTTGCACCAATTTTTTTGGCTCGCACAATTGTAGCTGTCTGACAGGATTCCACGGAGACGGCTGGTCTTGCAAAGACGTCGATGAGTGCAAGACCAGTTCGACGAACTGTAGCGATCGAGCATTTTGCAATAACACAGAGGGCTCTTATAATTGCCTATGTCTCGAGGGATTCCAAGGAGNTTAAGGAGTGCGATGATGATCTCTCCAAATATATACGCGCTCCTCAAGATATGCGCCACAATTCCTGCAACGAGCTGTGAATGTGAAAGAAGTGCGAGTTCTTTAAGGCGGCTGCATACATATAGCAGGGAATGCGTGGGCCGGGAAAGGTTGTTGTCCCTCGCACTAATGCACATACGTTATCAAGTTAAAATTGTTTTGGATGAGGTGGTAAATCTGTTTGCCACCAAACACCCGATAGAGGCTGGAGCTCGGGACTATTCTGAGGGATTAGTTCCGTAGTATTTTGATGTATCATTTTACATCGTAAAATTAGTCCTTTGTAACTTAATTCAAACAGCTGCATTCGACAAATGCAATATTCAGTTTCTACCGTGTACTTTGCCGTTACAATTTCTCATGTATTGCTACTTTCCTAAATAAACGGATCAGACAATAAAAARTACATTTCGGTAGTTTGGTCCACTTTTGCCTCGTTAGCACCCCCCACATAAAATCCTGGTTACGGACCTGCCTTTGGACAGTCATGTAGACCTTCGATCTTCCTTTTTTCCGATTTCGAGTCTATAGTGCTATTATCAACGTCTGCTAACTTGGAGGATCCAACTTTCTTCTTGGATCAGGAATGTAAAATCAAAATATGAGGGCAGCAATGACCAAGTTCACAAGCTTACTAAAATTATTCCCTACGATTTTACAGTTCGCAAACACCAGGGAAAAGAAGGGATTTTTTATTTATCATTTTTCATATAAATACATAGAAAAAATTTAATAACTTTATGCTAGCGCATCGAGTGGTATTTTGCTCGCACCGATCAGATCGCCGCGTTGGGGTGTACGTATGTACTTCATACCGATCAGACAACAATATCAGGACCACGCTCACCCGGACGATCAAGTCTACATTTTTTAAAATTGTACAGTGCTATTACTATATTCACTTCCCTCTCAAGGCTTTTTGTCCTATAATTAACGAAAATTTAAGCCATAGAGAACTTTTTTTTCTGCGCAGTCATAATCCTATTTGACGAAGGTAGTTTGGAAGAAATCAGGAAAGTTACGCAAACCCCGGGACGCATTCGAAGGCTTACAAGATTTTCGATCATTCTCCCAGCCTCAACGTCAATCTCGTCGTGGGAGCTCGCGAAAGCATTGACTTTTAAATGTTTTGAAAATGTGCCGACAAACACAGAAAGCGTGACGTCACAACTGTGTCCGCACACACTCTCGTCTAAACTCACCAGTTGACCAATGAGAGTGCACGTATTACCTCAATATTTCTTTGTTAAAGTCATCATGCTGGCTAACAAGGTGGCTTAGAAGAACTCGAGGGGGGCTCAAAAAATTGCTTAAATGTTCTATTCTATAATCTTTTGCTAAGCCAAAATCATAAATTAAAAAAGGAACAAAGAATGAAAAAAAATTTGCGCTGAACGAAATGAACTGAAAAGTTAATGAACATGAAACTACGAAAAAATGCTTGATATTTTGGGATATACCTCACTTAAAAATAGTAAACACGCGCTATCACCTGTGCTGTAAAAGACGCGCTCATGAGACTATTCTTTGTCCTTGAGCCTGAGCACCGATGATATAGCGGATTCTGAAATCAAAAGTTTTCAAACGATACGAAAGGAAAAATATTCTAATGTGTGTACAGATTGCAATGAGACGCATGCACTATTTAATTTATCGAAGTGTTGGCGGCTCATGCTTGACTACAGATGAAATTTGTTACAAGGTTACCAACAGCCATATCTCCAGACTACGTATGGATTTTAGAATAATTTAATTTTTTTATTAGCTTCGCCGACAGGCAGGGATCCCGCAACAGCTTG